AATATAGATTCTTGTTTTTTTAATAAGATTCAATAAAAAAATTAATTAATAATAAAATCATATATTTATTTATTTATATAATACATATTAATAATAAATGAAAAAAAATTAATAATAAAATATCATGACCATTTTTTGATTATCTTAATATAGTAATTTTAATTATTATTATAAAACCAATCAAATCTTATATGTTTATCCTTATACAAAAAATAACTTTAAAAAGAGTTATAATTTTTCTTATACATAATATTACTAGCAAAATGATCATATTATTTCTAAACTTAAAAAAAAACTAAAAATGTCTAATGAAGTTTTTGAACAATGATTTATTGTAAATGGAAATGAAAGAAATAATGTTTTTGAACTTTCATTAGACATTATTCAAGATTATGAAAAGCAAATTTATGATCTTACATCTGAAAATCAATTTCTTAAAGAACAAAATCATTATTTTAAAGAACAATCTCAATTTTATATAAACTTATATACTAATGCTTATTACCATTTTGGTACAGCTTGGAATGTTTTTTATGAAAATAATGAAGATTTTCAATATTTTGAACAGGAAGTTGTTAATTATATTGAAGAAGTTAATGATACAAAAAAAAATAAAGTGATTGAAATTGATGAAGAAAATGTTAAAAAAGAAGATACAAAAGTGGGAAGCTTAAAATTCGATAGACAAAGTATTATTTCATTGAGTGATGATAATAGTATTGCTTGTAATTGTATCGAATATAGAGGTAGTTGTGAAGATTGTTTTGTTAAAAAGTTTAAATCTGAATATAATTCAGAAGATAATTTTGATTATGAAAATTATAATGAAGCTTATCATAATGTATTTAATGATGAAGAGAGAGAATATAATAAAAATTATTGTACTGCCAATATGAATAATTTTTATTATGAAAGTAATGATGATGGGTATGAAGAATTTTTACAAAGAAGAGAATATAATAGTATGAAAGTTATTTAGCAAACAAAAATGCTAAAAATTTTGAATATTACATGTTACAACATAAATAATTTATATATGTTATTTTTTTTAACTTATCTATAAATAATTTTATATTTTATTAGTCTATATTTATAATAATAAACTTGTTAATCGATAAATGAATATTTTCATTAAGAAAAGTTTATTTTTTTTTTGGTTGTAAAAGTATAAATATAGGTTGAATAAATCTAAATTAATCTTTATTTATAATTTTTATTATTGTAAATAAACAATTGGTTTTTTTAATTTCTTATATATTAAACAGACAAAAGTCTGTTTAACATTCAAGAAAGCAAATACACCAATTGTTTTAATGAGTGTTTTATTTTTCTTGGCTAAAAGACAATCTGATATTGTTCATTTATTGTACAAAATTTCTATTGAATGTTATGTGCATAAACTTTATTTTTTTTAGAGTTCTATAAAATCCTAACAAAATGTTTTCAGTGTTCTTTATGATTTATATTCATTTCAAAGCAAAAATTCAAACATACAACCAAATCTTTAAACAAAACTTTAAACTTAAATAAAATGATTCACTAAACTTTCTACACTTTCTTGTCTTCATTTGCATCTTTGGGTTATTTTTAACTCATCTTTTTTATAGTGAATACCATGAATATATTTACTAATATATTATTAAATTATCTATTTCAAAATATTCTTTTGGATTGCTGTAGTTACTATTAATATAGTAACTACTTTAATTATTATTGCTTTATATCAATTTTGGTTTTGGAATTATTTACTCAAACAATATCCAGAACGATTTATCTCTTAATTGCTATTATTTTAGCAATTAAAGAAATATACAAAAAGCAAATTACTGCTCTTTTTGATTATTAATTATATTAGTAATCTTTGTTGAAGTTTTTCTCAGCAAATATGTATTGATTTTATTCAATAATTTTGAACATGGTGAAATTTTTATTCAATTAATTTATTATCTTCTTCAACCAACAAGCCAATAAGTATAAAGCTATCAATATATAGAATAAATTTACAAATCTTCTACCCATAACAAATTATCAAAACAACATATTAAAACATGTCAATTAATCAGATAAACTGATCGAAAGACCTCTTGACTGTTTTTTTTAATTTTATTTATAGTTTAATTTAATTATTTTATCTTCATTTAGAATTCGACACTTTAGAATATTTTATTATTCTATTTAATTATTCATTTAGGATAATTCTTTTAAATTAAATGAAATGATTCATAAAGTTGGATATTGTTATAATTTAGATTAAATTTTATTTATAAGTATTTATATACATTAATTTAATATAATAGAAATTCTTTTGTGTAAAAATATAAATTATCTAAATCAATTAAATAGAAATTTTTTTAAAAATTTTTGTTAAAAATATATTTAACTGTTTTATCAAAATCTTCTTCATATCTATAATATCTCCAATCTGATAATTCTTGATCAAATTTATTTCTAATATATTTTTTTCTTATTATATCAATATGAACCCAACTTCGAGCATGGGCTTCAAAATATGAAAACTATCCTTTTAATATTTCAAATATTTCTGGTTCTTCATTTCATACTGCTTCTAAATAGTCTTCATATCTTGTATAAAATTTTAAATCTAATATTGAAAATTGTTCTTCATATTCTATGAATGGGAAAGAAGTTTCAGTAGAATCTTCAATTTTGTTTATCAACTCTGAAGAATGATTTGAAATTATTTCTTTATTTGGAAAATCAGGCCAATAATCATTTACAACATTATATTTTTTTGATTGTTTTGTAAAGATTTTTTTAATAATTTTTTTAATAAAAAACATTTTATAATTTTTATTGTGAATGTTTGATTTAAAAAAAACTTGTATAAATAAAGTTTTCTTATCAAAATTAATATTTCCAAATAAAGAAATTTTTAACTTTATAAAAATTCAAATAATAATTAGAATGTCCTAAGATTTTTCAAACAAAAATATTTGTTTTAAATAAAAGACAAATAGAAAATAATTTTTCAATGTTTATATTTTAATTTTGATAAATTTGGAAATATTTTATATCGAGAGCCAATTATTTTTATAAATTTTTAAAGTTTTTTAATTAATATTTTATTAGTTAGAATTTAATTTAATAAATAAATAATAAACGTTAAATATTATAACTATTTTAATTTCCTGTTTTTTATCATGAATTAATTTAAAATTGATAGCTAATTGTTTTGCTTGTTCACTAGTTCTTTTTTTTGTAATATAAAATAATTTTTTATTATCATTATTTCAACAAAATACTCAAGCATTTACTTTTTTATTAAATGAAATTCCATTATAACCACTAGTATTATTTTTATATAAATTACAATTTAACATATTTTTTTTTGGAGTTGTTTCTTGTAAATTATATTTATGATTATCCAATCCAATTCTATTAATATAATCAATCATTTTCTATTCTTGATAAACCATTTGATGAAACAAAATAATTTTTTTAACTTTCATTTCAATATAAAATGTATTTCCATTTTTATGACAATACCAAGTATAGTTTTGTAAAAGATTAAAGTTATCAAGATCACATAAGAATGTAATTTCTTCTAATTGTGTTTTGACTTGAAGACACAATTTAAAATCAATTTTAATCTTGGTTTATCAAGATTCATGTATTTTTCCCAATTAGTAATAACTTCGAAATTCTTAAATTTATTTTGCCAAAAATTTGTTTGTTCAACATTATTCATTTTTAATTTTGATAAATTTAGAAATATTTTTTTGTAAAGAACCAATTAGTTTTATAGATTTTTTAAAGTTTTTAATTAATACTTTTATTGGTGAAATTTTATTTTTAATAGAAAAAGTATAAAAATAGTGTCATGATAACATAATATTTAAGATAAATAAAAAATGAATAATTCAGAATTTTCTTTTCGATTAAATCTTTTTTTGAAAAGTAATTAATTTAAAATACATATTATTAAAAAAAATATAAAAACAAGAGTAAGTATTAATAATTTTATTTTAAAACAAAATGAAAATAAAAACTAAAAAAAATAATTATTATTGTAATAAAAAAATATATTGTGTAAAAACAAATAAGTCAAAATCTGGAACTATATCTTTAAAAAAATCTGCTGAAAAAGGTCGTCATATTTTCAGAAATAAAATCAATAGTGTAAGAATCATATTTGAAAAATGGCAAACTGAAAATATTTGTGTATTATTTATCAAAGATAATAAGATTGTAGATGTTTCAAAAGGTTATAAATTTTGATACTCCTATGGTGACAAATATGAAAATGAAGATAAAGGTGCTAATATTAATAGAATTATTTGTTATATTCTTTCAAATGATCTTTATAATTATAAAATATTTTATAATGATACTATTATATTTAATTTTTATAATATGATGCAATTTTCTATTTGGAAAGATAAAAATATTTTTAGTTACAATCGTAAAAAAAATGGGGTGTGGCAACCTAGTGAAGTGGTCAGGTTGTCAACCCTCCAAGTGGTAGGTTGGGTGTTCAAATCCCATTGAC